CCGTGCCCTTGCCAATATTACACAACGTCAACCTCAACAATTTTTCGACAGGGGACGTGGAACCTACATAGGTCATGGTCAAGGTGGTTTCTCTTCCACAGGTTGTCGAGGCTTCCACGGACAATATTCTTCTATCATCTGTCAAGTGTGTGGTAAAGCAAGACGCACAACTCGTAAATGCTATCACAAGTTTGATCTTTCTTGTCAGCCATTTTCCTCTAGCTCTAATAAACAAGCTATGGTTGCTGCTAATGACGCCTCCGATGCCACTCATCACTTAACCAATGACGTGGCCAATCTGCATCTCAGAAGTGAAAACTATATATAACGGTCTAGATCAAGTCCATGTTGGCAATGGTCAAGGTTTGCATATTTCTCGCATTGATCCTCTAAACTTCATAATTCTAGTTCTTCCTGATAGTTTCAAATTAATATTTTATTTATACCCACATGCGGAATTAATCAATTAAAAGTAATAAATCATTTTAAATTGTTTCTAGATGATTAATTCAATTAACCCAATTTGACCCTATGTTTGAATATCACAATAAATCAAAAGCAGTAAATAAATAAGAACACCAAAGATGATCAAGAAGAAAAACCCCTTCGCAAAGGATTAAAAAACTTGAGTCCAAGCCAGTAAAAACCACAATAGACAAATTGACTTGTAGTACGAACCAAACTCAACTAACCTTAGTACTCTAAGACCCTACTTCCTGTAATCACCATGGCCTTCTGTACCGTGTGTTCTTGCACCAGCTCCCGACCTTTTGGAATCATCTATCTCCTATGGATCACCAAGAACTCATCTTTCTTATCTTATTGAAACTCTGGTTTCCTTCTCTGATCTTCAACAACTCTGATAGATACTTTGGAAGTTGGTGGTTTACTGTTTGACCATTGACCTTTCTGTGTTTGATCTTGGGATGAACATAGAATGTTATGGCTCGATCAACAAACTATATGTTGGATGAATTTATGAATCAACAAAGAAGGGGTTGAGTAAAGAGAACTTTGATGGTGTTGTTGACCTTCAATAAGGTGTTTTCAATAATTAAAGAACAATTCAACACATTTTGGGATGTTCATGGGATTGGATATATATATATATATATATATATATAATGGATAGTGCTTGAAATGAAAAGGAATTGAAAAATAAGTGTTTCAAGCAAATAGAGATTTTTGGAACGTGACATGTCGCTTGAGCGCCAGTCTAGCGTTGGCGGG